CGGCCCCACCCCCCGCGCGCGGCGGCGAGGCTCTCTCCGGGGTAGGGAGCCCACAAAGGACGTACGCGCCCAGCTATGTACATGAACACGGCCCCTCGATCCGCGAGACCGGCCGCGGTATACGAACATTTGCGCAATGCGTACTCTCGAAACCAGCGTGGATTCATGCACATGTACGTCATTATTTCGCTCCTGACGGGGGAGGGTGGTGCACCATGCAGCCGGCCGGGGCGCTGGCGCAGCCCGGGGCCGTGCGCTGCGTCCCCGCGGCTGTGCAGCAGCCTGGGGGCCCAAGGACACACAAATAAATACAAATTATTCACTGCGTGGAGCTCCCCATATGTGCATCTACTCGCATGGACCTGTCCGCCGTGAATGTCTAGGCGCAAGAGCTTTCGAATATTAACGGGCTTCAGTTGTGACGGTCTGGACATCAATCTAACTGCGAATGAATTGGAGTGTGAATGAGCCTCAGTAGTACGAGCGCGTCTCTGTGCATGAGCCTGGGGCCTCCTGGGGCCTCCTGAAACCTACTGGGGCTTCCTGGGGTCTCCAGGAGCCTCTTGGGACCTCCTGGGACCTCCTAGGAAGGTTTCGTGCCCCAGGAGAGGCGCAATCTATAGCAACAGACGTACATAAAACATTGCGGATTAGAGCCACAGGAGAAGGGCAATCTATAGGAACACGCGTAAAACACCAAGGACTCGTGCCCCAGGAGAGGCCCAAAATATAGGAACATGAGTAAAACATTTAGGATTGTGTACACAGGAGAAGGACCATCTATAGAAACATACGTAGAACATCAAAGAATCGTGCTCCAGGTGAGGCCCAATCGATAGGAGCATACGTAAAACACATGGGATTGGAGCCACTCCTGTTGCCTTCTGAGGCCTCCTGCTCCTGGGGCCTCTCGGGGCCTCCTGTTGCCTTCCGAGGCCTCCTGGCGCTTCCTGTTGCCTCCTGGGGCCTCCTGTGGTTTCCTGAGGCCTTCTGGAGCTTCCTGGGGCCTCCTGGAGCCTCTTGGGACATCCTGTGGCCTCTTTAGTTTTTCTGTGGCCTCCTGATGCCTCCTGGGACCTCATGTGGTCTCCTGGGGCCTCCTGGAGCCTGTTGGAGCCTCCTGTGGCATCCTGAGAAGAATCTGCGCCCACGAGCCTGGCCACCAAAACAAGCAAACCGATCGAGACATCCTCAAAATCTGGCCCACCTGGGGGGTGAAAATGAGCGCCTCGCTCGAGACATCCTCCAAATCTGCTCCGAAAGCGAAGGATGTTGGGCCCAGAAACAAGCAAACCGCCTGAGACATCCCCACAAAATGGCCGCGAACGAGCCCGTGCAACCACCCCTGGCGGCTCCCCTTAGGGGTGCTGAAACCAGTCTGTGTATGCCTGAGACAGTCTATGAGTAGGTCAAGTCTGTGTCTCGTCTGGGTATGAGTAAGTCTGAGTATGACTAATACTGTGTATGAGTAAGTCTGGGTATGAGTGAGTCTGTGTATGAGTACGTCTGGGTGTGAGTAAGTCTGTGTATGAGTAAGTCTGTGTATGAGTATGTCTGAGTGTGAGTAAGTCTGAGTATGAGTAGGTCTGAGTATGAGTAAGTCTGAGTATGAGTAAGTCTGTGTATGAGTAAGTCTGAGTATGAGCAAGTCTGAGTATGAGTAAGTCCAACAGGAGGGGAGGAGGAAAGAGGAGGAGGAAGGAGGAGAGGGAGTAGGAGGCGTCCAAGTAATAACAAGAACCCCATCTTAGGATATGGGGAACAAATAAAAGGATTCCCCATATTTTCCCATATTTTCTGGGTTTCTGCCTTCCCCCCCACTTCCCATATTTTCCCATATTTTCTCGGGAATTGACGATTCATTGTGTCTATGTGTCTTTTCCCCTCCTGAGCGTCGTCGCAGCCTGGGGCCGTGCGCTGCGTCCCCGCGGCTGTGCAGCAGCCTGGGGGCAGGGCTGCCGCTCGCCCTGAACATTTTCGTTGGGTGGAGGGTTCCGGGTGAAATCCAGGTGGGCTGCTGCACCCTGAAAATCAATCCGTCTCGTGACTCACCTGTTTGAAGGGGAACTGGGACACACAAATAAACACACAAATAAAAAGATGCCCCATATTTTCCTATATTTTCTGGGTGTTTGTCTTCCCGCCCAATTCCCATATTTTCCCATATTTTCTGGGAGTCGACGAATAATTGTGTCTGTGTGTTTCTTCCCCTCCTGACTGTTGCAGGTTCAGCCTCGAAAAACAGTGGAAACGGCACTCCAGATTCCACCCTTTGCCCGCCGCCCGAAGAAAATGCTCGGCTGCCCCCGGCTCCGAGCAGCGCGGCAAGACCCGGGGCAGAAGAGCAGCCTTCAAGAGCACGAGACCCTCCGCCGGCCAAACTGAAGAACACTCGAGGGTACCCTCCCCCAGGATGCACAAGGCATCCAACGAGCACGAAGACCATAGGGGGATCCTCCCCGAACCGACCTCGATCGTATGCCTCGGTCCGACCGTTATCCTGGTGATCATGTCGCTGGAGAGGGGGTGGTGCCTCTGGATCCTCGGATGCTGTGCGCAGCGTGAATGGGAGACACCCTCTCTCTCTCTCGATCCAGGTGGTGCAGTATCCAGGGTTCCAGATGTCGTAACTCGCCTTCGCAGCAATCCTGACCTGGTAAACTGTGGCAGGTGGGGGCATAAACTTTCCAGCCGCCCTGGGACCAGCGTCCCTGACGGCGGAGAAGTGTATGTTATATCTAAGGGAACCAGCAGCGACATAAACATAAGCACCTGGAGGTCCGCGCGGACCTCCGCGTTGTTATGTTTATGTCATCGTTTGTTTCCCCGGGGTTCCCCACTGGTCGAAAGGCGTGGGTAGAGAAGCATGAAGCACGAAGGCGCTGGATGTAGATTGAGTTTCCGCCCGCCCCTTGAAGATAGAGAAACGAAATACGGCATGAACACAAACTTTTGACGGTCCACGCCGGTTTCTTGGATCTGCGCTGAACCTTCCTCCCTAGCGCGCGGAGCGTGCCAGAGGCGGAGTGGGGCCTGACGCAGATTTAAGCAATCCACGCGGACCGTCGAGTATGTATGTTCTATGCAGTTGTTTGCTCTTCGAGTTTCCGCCCGCCATGAAGAGGGCAATCACGTGTCGGGCCCTGGGAGGCGATGCTCGCTCGGCACTTCGCCAGCGTGTCGGGCAGACACTGTTTCGATATCTTTCGAGGTGCTCGAGATTGTCCCTGGGATGTGGCCCTCGAGACTGAGCGCGAGGAGAACAGCGGACAGCCAGCCAAAACCGCTCCACTCTCGGTGGGTGGCCCAGTGGGGAGGTCCCGCCAAGACACCGCTGCGGAAGGCGGCGCACGGACGGTCTTGAAGGGGCCCCAGGACACACAAATAAATACACACAGATAACAAAAATCCCCATATTGTTCCATATGTTTGTGGTTTTGTCGTCCCCTCACTTCCCATATGTTTGCATATTTTCCTGGGAGCCGATGATTAATTGTGTCTGTGTGCTTCTTTCCCTCCTGAGGTCTGCCAGCTACTGGCGAACGGGCCGAGGGACCGAGAAAAAAGATGCCTCCGGATCGAGCCGAGGGCTGCGCGCCGACGGAGGATTGCGAAAGAAGGATTGCAAAAAACCGAAGGACTGCAAAAAACCGAAGGATTGCAAAAAAACCCTTCGTTCAAGGGTTTTTTGCAATCCTTCGGTTTTTTGCAATCCTTCGGGTTTTTTGCAATCCTTCGAGAAGCAAGCATCTGCACAGACCGAACCTTTTGGAGCTCCACGCAGACTTCCTGGATCTGCGCTCGCGCCCCTGGCAGCGCCTCGGGCGCCGCCCCTGGCGATCGCACGCACGGGAGGGGGGCGAAGCGCAGATCCAAGGCATCCGCACGGACGGTCAAAGTTTATTTCTATGCCGTTGCTTTCTTCTTCGAGCGAGATGCGGCTGACCACGACATGGTATGCGCATCGATCGTCGTCGTCGCCCGTCTAACGGAGTGTAAGGGACAAGGAGACTGAGGAACGTAGAGGTCGAGTCGAAGGGAAGCCCCTTCCCTCTGATCCCTTCCCTGCCAGGGGGGGGGAGGGAAAGGGTGGGGGGGTGTCCTGGTTCAGAATACCGCACCCACGGGGTCCCAGGGGGTCCCTGGGAGGGGTCGCCAGCCGGGGTCCCGAGGGAGGTCCCGCCTTCAGGGTCGGCGGCACCAGCAGTCAGGCCTTCGCAATGCGGCTGACCGCGACATGGTATGCGCATTGATCTCGACGGCGGAGAGAGCGACTTCTGTGCACGCTAATTACACTGGTGGCAAAATATCGCCCCCAGAAACCAGGACCCCCATCGCTGCGAAAATTCCTCCCCTCCTCTCCCGAACCGAATCTCCCCCCCCCCTCCCCCCCACCCCCTTTCCCGCATCCCGAGAATCGGTCACCGCGGGCAAACAACATCGACGACAACGTCGACGACGACATCGCAGTCGCCGTCGCCGTCGCCGTCGTCCTCACCGTCGTCAGCGTCGGCCTCCACGATGGAGTGCCTCCGCCCCTCCACAGGAGGAAGATGATCGTGGATTTCGGTGCTCGTGGCTGTCGCTCGGCCACCAGAGAAGCCCGAATATCACAACCACCATCCTCCCTCGGTGGAGGCAACCGCCGATGCCGGTACTGGTGCCCACCTCCAGGCCTCCAACACCCGGGGGGGTGGGGGTCTCTGCACACACGTTTCGGCTACACGCAAGAGTGACCTTGGGCAAGAGTGACCTTTGGTGCGCGGCCCCCAGGGTGGGCCCTCTGTGCACACCACTGGGCGCGCAAGCCGCTGCTATCGCATCGCTTTCGGAGATCGGGGGGCCCTATTGGGCCCGCGCCAAGGGTCACTCCGGCGAAAGGTCACTCTTACGTGTAGCCGATCGTTTGCGGAGGACCCGCCCTGCCTCCCTGCCCGAGGCGGGCCCCGCGGGCGGCGGCAGCGGCAGACGCGGCGCGGGCGCGGGGGGCGGCGGCGCGCCCCCTTCGTGAGGGTCTCCTCGACCTCCGCGGCCTCCGCGGGGAGCCGCAGCGCGGGTTCGGCCCAGACCCTCTCGCGCCGCGACGAGGCTCGCGACAGAAGGCTCGGGGCATGGCAATGTTCGGCACGGAGGGGGCCCGCGCGGGGCCCTGGGGCCGTCCGAGAACGACGCGGGGCGAACCGCCAGGTCCCTGAGAAGGAGCCGAGGCCTCCAAGGGTCCACGTCGGGGGTAGAGCGGAGGCCGTCGGGGGTCCCAGAACCCCCTTTTACCAGCCTCGAACTTATCCCTATCCCTAAGATTGACACGCCAAAAGGCGATGACAAGCTTAGAGACTCGCCCTCAAAAAATAAGGGAATCCCTAAGATTGGCATCGTGATGAGGAGATGCCCAGCATAGGGATATGTTCCAGGCTGGTAACCCTTGCCGTGGTGGTGGGGGGGAGTCAGAGAGGCGACCTAGCCGGCCAGGCGGCCAGACGCTGACACGATGGGGTGCCAGGCCGGGCCGGCTGGATCAGAAATTGGTTGGGCTATGGCTCAGCCCAGCATGACGGGGGGGCTTAGCCAGGGGGCCGCGGCAGGGGGATGTCCGAGAGCAGCGGCATGCTCAACGTGGCTGCTCCGCTCGGCCGACCTCGAAGAGGCCTGCCCCGTGGGGTTGAGGCCAGCTCCAGCCGCGCTCGCCCCTCCCGCAAGTACAGACAGAAGGAGCTAGAGGTGATGGAGACTGAGTCCCCCAATCCTCCTCCTTCTCCTCATCCTCCTCCTCCTCCTCCTCCTTCTCCTCCTCCTTCTCCTCCTCCTCCTCCTCCTCCACCTCCTCCGCCTCCTCCTCCTCCTCCTCCTCCTCCTCCTCCTTCTCCTCCTCCTCATCCCCCTCCTGGTCTTCTTCTTCCTCCTCCTCCTCGTCAGCGGTGTCATCATCATGACCAACAA